TCCATGCAAGGGATCTAGGTTGCACGCTGCTTATGAGAATTTAATGCCTGATTATCTGAGGTGGAACAGTTTTATCCTGAAACCACCCCCCACTACCATCCATGGAAAAATTGTCTTCCACGAAACCAGTCCCTGTTGCCAGAAAGGTTGGGGACCTCTCGACAGGACAGAAAAAGAATGGCAGTAGGAGAGGGTAGGACATCTGAAACACTATCTGAATTAAAAAGATGATCTGGCTGTCTACTTCAGGAGGCCAAGTGTATGAACACAAGTTGTTGCTAGTTAATATGCTGCTGTCCTGTTTCCCTTAGAGCAGGATCCAATTTTGTTTAAGAGGTGTCAGTGTTGCAGCAGTTATGGAATTATACACAGGCATTAAAAGTTCCTGTTGATAATGTGTTGGGAAGTGATTATGAGTCATAACTTTTTTTTCCCCATACATACCTTAGCTAGGAGGTGTCCTAGACTTGTAGCGGACTAAAGGGTGTGCCTGAAAGGTGTGCCTTTATTTCCTATCTGTATCGTGTAGTTTTATATGGTGCTGACATTTTAAGCCTTCTGATCTTGGTTCAAAGATGTTTATCCTATACTCAGTAAAAACTTAGTCCAAATAACGGTGGGAACTTCATTTTTTTCTAATATGTAGGAGAGAATGTCTTGGCCTTGGAAATGAGCATCCCTGGACATGGTTTCCTGGTCTTTCTGAAGCAGGCCCTCTTCACCCACAGGTCTTGGCATCGCTCCCTCACTGTGTGCCATCTGGCCAGGGACCAGCTTCCCAAATCTGCCTTAGCAACTAGCTCTGCCTGTGCTCAGGAGGCTGTTTTAAACAACCTCTTCCTGAGGAGATTACAGTGACCTCTCAGAGCTCATAATTTTATGTTCTCTGAAAATTCTAGGCTTTATTGAGGGCAAGAACAATTTTCGAATACACTCCCTCCCCACCTAATTACCCACCACAGTGTCTGGCATATAAATAAAAGGAGTACAGAAAATATATTTATTGAATGAATTGTCTAATTGCCACCCAGTATCCTGGGGTTGGAAATTGGGCAGAGAATCTCAGTGCCAGTGGCAGGCTCCCTATCCTGGTGGGATACACCCTGTGTCTGCTCTTTTTGCTAGGCCTCCACAGAGGTATCTAGTGTGTGTTTCTATACAGGGCAGTCCACATCAAAGCCATGCTGCAGTACAATCAGTCTCTTACTCAAAATTTTCAAGTTTGAGCTTTAATCTAATCCTTGTCTCCAAAACACTTCTGGCTTCATCTCCCAGCTCCCTAAACTTTTTTCGTTTTCGTGTGTGTGTGTGTGTGTGTGTGTGTGTGTGTGTGTGTGTGTGCGGGGGGTATCAAATCTTTTATTGGACCCGTGGTCAATTGAGGAAATAGGAAAAACCTGATACTGAAGGACTTTGGAAATAAAACAGGAAAGACGAAGGGTGAGAAATTTATTCAGATTTCTTCATAATTCCCCCCAAAACCTCCAACCACGTTGCCAGTCCTTGGGTGCTGCGGTTGGTCGCGGAGAGGGGCTGTGTGGAGGTGACCTTCTGGTAGACGGAGACCCGCTTTTCAGACTCTCTGGCACAGCAGGCGGGCCAGGAAGGAACATTTGGGCCACTATCACTCTTAGCTCTGCCAAGCCTGACTTTCTCTTCTCTAGTTTCTTTTCAACCGGAGGGACAAGTGTGGGGATCCGCTTTGGACTCCAAGGCCCTGCCCGCACTGGCAGCACCAAGCGGGTGTAGAATGACTCGAAGGAGCAGGGAAGGAAGATGGGTGTCAACTGTCCCGGCCAGTGGCTGCGTGTGTGTGTGTGTGAGAACAGGGAAAAGGCCACCCTTTCCCGTGTTTCTCCCGTCTCCTCGGTTCTTGGAGATCCGCAGGGCTGTCCCAGGTAACTCCGAGTTGCCCTGGGTCGCTGGGGCTTGATCCGCATGCTCCTCCGCTAGCCCGTTCCGGCGTTCCACAGCGCCCCGCCGCTCGGTGTGCACGCCTGGGTGGGACACAGTAACAGCCCCTACGCCGCCAACGCAAAAGCAAAAACAACCGTACACCCCATCGCAGTCGCAGCTTTTCTCCGCAAGGTAAGTTGTTTATTCGTCGCCGTTTTGGCGAACCTCCCTGGACAGCTGCGGCAGCGACGGCAGCTGCGCCGCGGGCGCCAAGCTCCCAGCCTCTTCCTTCCTCCGCCCTCTCAGGGCTGCCTCTTACCCTCACCCTCTTCCCTCCTATCCCCGCCTTTTCTCTTCTTGCCCTCTCGTGGGCCACGCAAACACCCGGAGACACCCTCTGCACTTGGCTACTCACACTGCGGCTTAACCCAGCCGACAAGGCACGCTTGCCAAAGAGGCGCGGGTGTGCGTGTGCGGGGTCCGCGTTCAGAGGCCAAAGGAGGGTGGCGTGGTAGAGCCCTTCTCCTCCCGGCCGCGACCCCTTGCCCACTCTCTTTCCCTAATCTCGGCCTGCCAGCAAAAGTGACACCTGAGCAGGGACTGGGCGGTGTAGGCTGCAGGCCCGCTGGTCCGGCAGCTGGGAGAAAACAGAGCAAGGGGCGGGGACAACGAGGAGGAGCGGGAGGAGGGACGAGCGGAGAGGCCGCCACCTGGCACTGAGTGATGTGCACTCTAGCCAATGAACGTGCGGGACTCCGACGTCGGGGCGGGAGGTCGGGGGCGGGCTCAGTGG